TTTGCCACCGAGACTGCAGCCAGATGGCTCACCAGTCAGCCGCCAGCTGCCGTTTGGCGGGCGGTGCTTTGGTAAGCCAGTGGGCGAGGCCGAAGATGATCCGTGGGCCGGGGCCGGGGCCGGGAGCCGCGGGGTCTGGTCCTGGTCTGACAGCCACCACGGTGGCCTTCGGGGAGTCGTTGAGTGTCCCTTGATCATGAACCCGAGGACGTCACACCACGGCCTCCAGTACACTTGCCGCGTGAAAGCGCCCCTGCGCTCTGTGGATGGACCTCCTCCTGGCCCTGGGACCCGCGGGCACTCGGACACGCCTGGTTCTCACCACGCCGGGGACCCGGAGTCTCAGTGCAAGCTCGGAGAGACTGTGCGTTTCCATTTGTTTTTGGTCGTTGAATTTCTGTGAACACAGTTCTCCTTAATCTCTCAGAGTCAAGGTCCAGCTGCCGGGACCGGCCGGAGCCGAGTGCTCATCCGCCCAGGGTACACACATCCGTGGGGCGAGTGACCAGGAGGCAGGTCAGTCTGTTTTCTGTGGTTGGCGAGCTCCACCGTGGAGTCGAAGTTTAGTCAGTAAACATTATTTATGGACACCCGACGTGGACACTTGCACCTTGTCAGACAGTTACTCTGTCGACCTCCCGAATGTGATTAGCAGCAACCTCTTCCTTCAGTGCACCGGCTGCTGGGAGCAGGGGTGCAGGATGCGCAGGGAGGGCAGGCCCCCAGGACTGGCCCGGCCGGGCAGCTGGGTGAAGCAGGTGGGGCGGACGCTCGGGAAACGCGGGCACGGCTGTCCTCACTCGTCATAACTACGCCGTTGTCTCAGCCCCACGTCCCCCATCGCTGAAGATACCGAACTAACGCAGACAGACGCCAGACCGGGTGTCGTTCATTGCCTTCCCCTGTCTCTTTCTCGCTTCGCCCACGACACGAGGCCGTGTGAGAGTTCCTGCCCGGGACACACGCGGCTCCTGCTGGCACGCTTTGGGCTCGAGGACCCACGAGGAAGCACGCAGGGGGACGTCGGGAGAGAACACCCACAGCGAATGAGACGGAGCCGCGCCGTGCAGCTGGCGTAGCCTGGGGCTTTGTCCCACTGTCCACGCTGACCCTCGGGCCGAGGCTGCTCCCAGTGTCGGACGCTATCTGTGTGGCTCGCACCTGCGGACGGCACGGGGGGGGCACTGCAATCAGGCCGGGGCCACCTGCGAGGTCAGGCTGAAGCCCCGTTAGGGGCAGGGCAGTGGTGACCGCCCGCATGTGCCCGTGTGCTTGTGTGCCCCCGCATTCCTGTGTGTGCCCACGTGCCCATATGTGTCTGCCTGTGTCCCCCTGTGCCCGTGTGTGCCCACATGCTCGTGTATACCCGCGTGTGCCCGCGTGTGCCCGCGTGTGCCTGTGGGCCTCGCTAACACAGTCCTGCTCCCACTTGCATCCACTGGCTGGGCGCTCCAGCCAGAGTCGACCAGACCCGGGGCCTTGGTGGAGGGCACGCCTGCCCCGGGCTCACACTAGAAGCCACAGGCCAAGCCCTGTGTCCTGTCTCTTGCGAGGCCAGCTCCCGCCAAGGGCCACCAGGCTCCTGGGTTTGCTCCCATGTACGACGGAGGTAACCACGTGCATTCTCTTTGCAGACCAATTGCCGTTCGAGGAGAAGAGACACAGTGTCCTCTTGCCTGTGATGGCCTCGCCCCCTCCGGTGGCCTGGCCTGGGTCACCATGCATGGGTCCCTGGCCCCCACCCCGGGTGGGTGCTCAGCTCCGGGGCCTGGGTCAGGTCTTGGGCACTGAGCCGTTTCTACTTAACCCCGTCTTGCACATCCACCCACCCTTCAAGTCACCTGTCTGGGGCGCCTGGTGGCTCAGTTGGTCGAGTGTCCCACTCTCAGTT